TTATTATTATTGTATGTATGTATGTATGTATGTATGTATGTATGTATGTATGTATTCACATATGTATATAAAGGCCAGAAGAAGGCATTCAATACCATAGAACTGGAGTTACAGGTAGTTGAGAGCTACCCAGTATGGGTACTCGAATCCAAACTTGGGTCCTCTGCAAGATTAGCAAGCACTCTTAACGGCTGAGCGAGCAATCTCCCCTGGGGCAAGTATTTTAATGTCCAAATTGGTGCTAGTTTCTAGTATTCAATCAAACCTTGCCAAACAATCAAGAGCCTAAACTAGCCTTAGTGTGCATGTTCAGGGCACGGAGGAGACATCCCCCGTGGTTGAGGGCCTGTCCTCAGTGGTTTGAGGTGAACAAAGTGGTTCTGTCCTTTCCATGGCTCTGTCTACTTCTTGCTGTGGCTGGCCATTCTCACAGGCCCAGCAGGGGGTGAGCACAGCACAGTCATGTTCCCTGAGCTTTGCTGTAGTAAAAGCAACCGTTGCTTGGAGCTACATAAGATCAGGTGTATGATTTAAAAATATATATATATATTTCCCACAAACGTTAGCAGCCATGATTGAAAGATGGAATTTCCCAGATGGAATTCATAGCCTGGTGAAGACAATATTACTTAAGCAGCTAACCCTTCACAATCATTTCAAATGCCTCCAAATAAGGAAAGTTCATAGGTAGCAGATCGAATCTTGTTTTTTTAACTGTGTAGTTTGTAATGAGTAGGCTACATTAACACTAATGTCTTCCTCCAAAGTGGGAGGTGCTCTCTCATATGAGAGAGAACATTACATGTCTTAAAATTAAAGTTAGCTGCTGCTATCTGACAGTATTTTATAAATGGAATGCAGATGTTATGGGCCCAGCTTATATTGTCTTTTATCTGCGACTCAGAATATGGTCTCGGGTCATCGGATATTTTCTCTTACAAATATTCACTGTCCATTATTTCCCAGCAAATTTATAAGGCTTGCAGAAGTCTTTGAGATTTCTCAGTTCACCACCCTCCCATCCCAGGCCCCCACCCACAGATCCACACCCGTGTTGTAGAAACACATGTGTGCTTGGTCTCTGGTCTCTACTGAAATCAGTTGGATGGATTATAGATTGGGTTTTACTTCGATGAACTGAGGGCTTGTTATGTAGCTTAGGCTAGCCTTAAACTCACGGTCTTTCAGTCTCAGCCTCTCGAGCTACTAGGATCATAGGCACGTATCCTGCCACGCCCAGCTGTGCCTTCCTGAAATGACGCTGTTTAAAGAAAGAGTCCTTTTAATGCATCTGTGCTGATAATCTACTTTGTAACTCTGGATGGAAATTACACGGCCCCTCCCACCGCCTTTCCCCTCCCCTGTTTTCTCTCCTCCTCCCTTGGAATTTCTTTCTTCCTATCTTGTTCCTCTTAACTCCTCCCAATCCTAAGCACTGAGACCATGAACCTGTTACTGAAGGCAAAAGAAGTGAGTTCAGCAATGGAACTTGAGACTGTGTGGCCTAAAGCCATTGCTGTTTCCAGCTACAGATAAAGGCAATCTTGTTCAAAGGCCTGCAAGGAGACTTCAAGACTCCTGAGAGGGAAAGCACACGTTATAGATTATAAATAGGTAGAATACAACTAAATTCCAATTATTAACTAATACATTCTAACACTACTCATACATTGTATTTGTTGAGATGGATAATTGTCCCGTCTTTAACCTCTTAGAACACCAGAGCACCTGAGTTTTCCCCTTTTTACTGTTTTGAGTGTTGTATTTGTACCATCCTGGGCATTTCCACAGACAATACGTTTATCGTGGTTGTTGTTACTGCTGCTGTTGTTGATATGGGGGCTTATTATATAGCTCAGGTTGACCTCAAACTCATTTTCCTCTTCCTCAGCCTCCCAAGTGCACAGTATACTTATTCTCCATTGTGCTTGCATTTGCTCACTCTTCAAGAGCACAGTGGAAAGGGAAAGTCCTCTATAGTTTCACTGTACTTACTCCCCATCTCGGGTAATGGTTTGGTGTGTATTTTTCCATATTTCTACAATTACTGTCTTCCTTCCCTGTGCATGACAACATTGTTTTTGTGTGATGCTGGGGACAGAACCTAAGGCCCAGTGCATGTCTGGCAACTGCTCTATCACCAAGCTACATCCCACCCACCCCCCGACCCTATGTGCATCTTTTAAAACTTCATTTCTCTGTGTATCTCTGGGACCTGTCTCCTGTGGTAGCCTCACTTCCTGGCCATGGAAGAGCATATTCTTGTTTACTGGCAAAGCAGTCGCCATTTAGCTGGTAGCAGAGTTAAGAAGCCATGGGATGCCAAGTATCGGGCATACTTTTCTAAACTATTGTTGATATGTTTCTGAACATTTTAAAATAATCATCTGTAGGTCTCTAAAATCTATCCCTTTCCAAAGGGTTAGCCCATTTGAATTATTATATGGTGAGACATATATGACATATTATATGTCTTGAGATTTTACATGGTTTTAAGATGAGGCAACCCAAGATTTATATTTTATTTAATTCTCATAAATGTCGATTTTTTAAAAAAATAATTTGGAGTCCCTAAGTATGTTTGGCATTGCTAACGAGACTTGTCACATATTGTATTTTCTTGGCATGTCTTTTAACCACATCCTCAGTAAAATATCTTGATTAGCATATTTTAAAAGTGGAATCATAACACACTGTGACAGTTGGGGATTTGGAGATCCTATTGGCATCATGAGAATTCTGCCTGTGACAAATTTTCCCAAGGAATAGTCAACAACGGTTGTCCACAACCTCCAGGATTCAGAAAGTCACATCATCTTATTACGTAGATAAGATTTATCTACTACAGAATTACTAGGAAAATATCCTTGAGTTATTCGTGCCTCATATTTTGGTGCAGTCAGGGAAGCTCTGGTTTTAGGGATGAGCAGTCACATAAGGATGGAGAACCTGAGGTTTAGAGGGATTCTTTCATTACTTCTGACTTCTTTAGAATTGAATAAACTGTTTATATTTTCTATAGCCTGGAAAACACATGTATTTTTTTTCCCTAAAAATATATAAGTTTTACTTAGTTATATCTAAATTTAACCAATAGTCCTCTTCTGAAACCAATGCAGCTGTACTGCTTTTGTTCTGACACCCTTCCTGACTTTCTTGCTATTGTTACTCAGAGGTTTCACTCAATTTGCTTGTTTTTATCCCCAAGACACCGCAACCATCATTCTGTTCATGTTTTCAAAGATGATTTATTACTGCTACTACTGCTATGACTATTGTATAAGTATGTGCACATGAGTGTAGCCACTCACAGACGCTCTGCCTTGGGGCTAGACTTAGAGACCTGTCACAGTTCCTGGGAATTGAACCCAGGTCCTCTGAGGAGCAGTGCATGCTCATAGTTGCTGGGCCTCCTCTCCAGGCCCCTGTTCATGTTTTCTTTGCACATCTTCCCTTCCTTACATTCAGAGCCTCTGGGACCAAACCTAGCTAGGACTAGCTGTCAGTCTCCAGAATCTATAGGTAGGCAGTTAAGTGTTTGGGGGAGAAAACAGGAAGAGTGGTGTCCTAGGAGATATGCCTTGCTCTCAATGCCAACCCATCTGTAACGTTGGCCCTAGGAACTGAGGACTGGGGATAGCCTACATGAGTACTGTCCCTAAAGCCTAGGCGTATCTCTGAGTTATTTGCCTTCTACTCTCCAGGGGGGGTGTGTTATGGGAGTAAAGAAAAGCAATGAACTCTTGTAAAATACTCTCATTAAATATATCTGAGTTGTATCCCTCCTGCTGGGTAAGTGTGTGTGTGTGTGTGTGTGTGTGTGTACATGCATGTGTGAAATTAACATTATTTAGGAAACAATGGCAATGATAGTTGAAGTTCTTTTGGTTTGGTTTTAAATTTATTAATTACATTTTAATATTTTCTTACTTGAAAAATACCAACTTGCAGAACGACAGGTCACACTTCTTGAAGTTTTGCTGTCCTTGAACTCTAAAATAACTATTATAAACAACTAGCTGTGTGTTTGGGTGTAGACACTGGGCCATCTGGAAAATCTGTCTTCTTAGTTATTCAAGAGCTGTATCATTTATTCATGCTGTGTACTAGTCCTCTGATGGTAACAGCATTTTGCTGCCAGCAATTTATAGCAGGTGTCCTAGATTAGCAAGTATCCTCGACTGTCTTCTGGTGGTCAACATTGATTCACAGTTTCTGTAAGACTGAGACAATCTGACCAGAGTGTTTATGCTCTCCATTTTTAGAAAACCCTACTTTCAAAGTTACACAGCCCAATATTCTTTCAGTAACTTGTAATATAATTTCTCTCCTGTCTAAATCACATCAATTTGTTCTTTGTTCAATATAGGTTGTCGCTATGGCTATATGTGCTTTCAAAAAAGTTTTAAAGGCATGAATTTAACTCGTATTTCTATTAGATCTGTGATCCAGGCATGGTGGTACAAGCATACCACCCTAGAACCTCTGCCGGAATATCAGGAGCTAGAGGCCAGCCTTTGCTTTTAAGCAAGCTCCAAGTCAGCTTGGGCCACAGGAGACATATACTTAATTAATGCATTAATTTATTTTAAAAATGGACCTGTGATCCCTTTGGCTGTTAGAAAGATGTAAAGATCACGACATAGCTGATGTTGAGGCTACTACATCTCCACTTTTGATGTCACTTTTCTGGAAGACATTCTTTCTTCATTTCTTCCCACATAGTCAGTATGACATCACTACAGATGACTTGAGTCCTATACCTCTTCTATAAAGAATGGTCACATTGAAATATAGCCACAGTGTCATCATATGTCTGATGATGGCATATTTTATGGGGAGTTTTCAGTGATTATTATAATATAGACAAATGACCCAATGAAGATCCACCAGCCACAGTGGCAGATTTGTTATTTTCTGTAGACACCAAGAAAGGAAGTCATACAATAATGTATATTCATTTGAAAATAAATTAATGCTTCCAAAAAATTATTTTCCAGTGAAGGAAGCCCATCCCCACGAGTGGAGCTGCTGCATAACATCGATCAGGACTTTTTTGACGACTTACCATGTGAGTACTCAGCCCTTGCTACCATGTTAACTGTTCGGTCTTGTTTTAGTAGACACTGTAAGTCTAGCCAGAACTGCAGTTAGGATAAACGTTTCTTCCTGATACACGTTCTGGTAATCTCATAGTGGCATCGGTATTCTGCCATGTTAGTAAATTGTGGCTCTGCCATTTGCTGGCGTGTGTAGCGGAGCCCACAAGACCCCCAGGGCCCTTCTCCACTGTCAGTCTCATGTCATTGCTTAGGTTACCTGAAAGTTCCAGAACCTTTTCCCAGATAATTCACCATCCTGACCCCCTCCGTTGTAAGGATGTTTATGGTGTATTATTTAGTGGATATGCCAAGCCCTATCGTGGTGGTCATTAATCCAGGGACACTTTTTGTCCTCAGTTGTCCTTTGTGCCTCCTACAGAGAAACCTACTTGATGTTGGGACCTACCAACCTGGGACCTTGCAACAGCATAGAGCCCACTGGTTCACATGAGTGACGTGCTCTCTCTTGTCTGTGTCTACAGGGAGCTTCATGCCACCTCCTTCTACACAGAGCAACACTGCAGATTTTTTCTGCTAAGTCTGAGTCACTTCAGGCTGCTTTGAGGCAAAAGCTCAGAAAGAAAAAAAAAATCCTGTCTTTAGGGCCTGCTGCTTTTTTACCATGAAAATACAAACCTACTTTCTTTCCTATGCAGTTTTCTGTAGGGAAAAAGTCAAATCCAATTATAAGAAAATATTAACTTAGAGCCAACACAGTTGGCTCTCAAGTCTAGTGTCTCCCAGACTGGCCATCAAACTTAGGGGAGAGTAGTCAAGGATTAGCCTAGTTTACCCTTCTGGGGTACACGTGTTAATGAGCAGTAATGTTGCCACAGGCACAGTCATAAGTAAGTGAACAGAAATGAAATCCTTAGAAGCTTTGTAAACAGCAGGCTAGTTTGTATTAATAGGTAGTCTTGTTCTTGCTACATCCTGTTTGCCTCTCTGAGCCCTGTCCCATGCATGTCCTCTTCCTTCACCAATGTCACCTCACATGAATGATATGAACAGGCACTGTTTCCCCTAGAGCCCTGCCTTCTGTGAACCCTCACATTCCCTCAGAAGCTGGCTCTTAGATATATCAGTTACTCCTTCCACCCCATCTTCAGAGTACAGGGAACATCCAGGGCCCTTTTGTTACCAGGAAAACTGGGGTTCCCCCTCTTAGGCTCTTAGGCTCATTAAGAAAAACAGACTCAGATGGAAGCTCAGGGACCATTTTACTAGTATTTGAAAGAAAAACAACAGGGAGCTTTAGCTGTAAATTTTGGCAGCTCCTGAATGGAGGTAGATGGAGAAAAAGAGAGAGAGAGAGAGAGAGAGAGAGAGAGAGAGAGAGAGAGAGAAAGAGAGAAAGAGAGAAAGAGAGAAAGTGAGTCATGGCCTCTGAGTTAGGGTCTGTGAAAGCTGGCTGGTGTGTTCAAAAGCAGAGGTTGGCAAGCATCTGCATGACAGGAGGGTGGGTGGGGGGCTTCAGATAATGGGTGAGAGAGCAGAGTGCCAGGGAAAGCTTGCTTAGACAGGGAAAACATGCCTGGACTTTTGAAAAAAAGGGGACAGAAAAAGAAGGGAAAATTATACTTTTTGAGTTTAGAACTCAAAAACCAGACAAGCTTAGCAATGAAGATGTGCAAGCCACTGCATCAGGGGAGGGGCTCTGGGGAAGTCTAAGTAAGTACACCATCTCATTAAGGGGGTAATTACCCTTCCCATCTCCTTAGTATGTTACTAGATGCATCAGCTTTCCTGGGGAGTAGATGCTGGCCATGTGATTGACAGGCCCGGCTGGATTAACTCTTTTTTTTTTTTTTTTTTTTTGGCTGGATTAACTCTTAAGGGAAGAGACAACATAGTATATAATGTTCTAATCTTCAGAGAGCATCAGAATGTTAGGTCTCCACTCGGGGCCAGAGGTATTCCATCCTTTGGAATGGAAAGTCCTATGGGGAGGCAGTTATAATGTTTTCCTTTCTAGTGTTAGCAGGAGAACAGATGGGGTCCAAAGTCAACCATGAGAATGAAGTCTGTCCTTAGTGGTCGCCAAGTTTACTCATCTCTGCCTGCTTGACATTCCATACTCATTCATTATTTTGGAGGTGGGCTGAACCTGGGGAATAAATTTGACCATATGCATATCCAGAGGTCTGACTCCAAAGCTGTCCATCAGAAGTGTCTCCCTGGAACTCCAGTTACATTTGCTTACAGCTTCCAGACAGGGTGCTCACAAAGGAGCAGTTAAGTGTCCTGCTTTCTGCATCTCAGGTCAGGACAGGTCCAAGGACATTCCCATGGAGGGCAGACCAGATACAAAGCCTAGCATCGCACACCCTTATGCCTGTCTTTCCAGTGAGGCCCTAGACTCTGTCTTTCCCTGAGAATGGTCAGTAGTGAGCAGTGAGAGACTGGGGGAGCGCTGGCACTGCTGAACAAGCTATAGGAAAGCCTGGAGATGTCAGAACAGCTATGATGCTGGATCTGAATTTAGCTTTCATGGATCCAAGGGCTCTCCTGTGCCAGACTCCATGTTTCTCAGCACCATTCAGATCAGGAAGAACCACTGTGCTAACTCAGTTTGCAGTTGCCAGACTGATCTGGACTATTCTGGGGTGATAGTGCCCTTAAGCCCTTACCTCATCTTGGATGTCTGTTGTGATCAACAGAACTCCAGAATAATCCAGTTGTGTGATATATGCATATGTACTTACACACACACACACAAAGAGTTATGCTGGCAGGAGCTCAATTACAGGTAAAGGGCACTAACAGAAGTTAACACAGTATGTGCTGTGGAAGGCCCACTCTGTGCGTGTCTCTGTGTTACAACCGACCTCACGTAGAAGGCCTCCTCTCTTTGGGCATCACAATGATATGTAACTTCCACTAGCAACAACAGTGGGAACGGGCTCAGTTCCCTTTCTTCCCTCACATGGGTGTTTTCTCTGGTACAGCCGCCACATTTGCTTGAGGTGCAAGACACATCTAGTCTCAAATGTGTTCTAATTTGAATATAAAATTACCTGACTATGGCCATGCCTTTGAAGGTTAGAAACCACCCTGTGGTGGCTCCAGCCTCTCTCTCAGCTTTCTTCATGCCACCAGCTAAACAGCCCCTCCCCCACCTGCTTCTGAGACCATAAGGCCAGGCTCATGCAGGCAAACTACTATGGGCCAAGCCAAAAATCTTTTAAGCTGTGAACAGAAATAAACTTTTCCCCTTTAGTTGTTTCTGTCAGGTGTTGTGTTGTCATAGCAATAGATGACTCTCTCTCTCTCTCTCTCTCTCTCTCTTTCTCTCTCTCTCTCTCTCTCTCCCTCTCTCTCACTCGCTTTCCCTCCCTCTCTCCCTCTCTCTCCCTCCCTCTTTCTCTTTCTCTGATGGCCAGTTTTCTGTATTGGTCATTTTTGTGTCATGGTGACCATATCATGTGCTGGAAACAATTCAAGGAAGGAAATGTACTTTGGACAGGTTTCCATCAGAGAAGAGACAGGGACAGATTGAGGAGCTGTTCATGGCTGGAACAAGCATTTAATAAGAGTCTGTCAGAGACATTTCAGATTCAAAGTGTCCCCCCCGATAGCTCCAGAGTTCAGAGCCGTTCGTTTCTGTGGAGCTTCTGAGGAGCCCGGGTTTTTGTCATGTTTAATGCATCAGAGCATGCACACATGTTGCCCTGAGCAGTCTGGCCTGCTTCCCGTCCAGAGACATATGCTCCGAGTACATCAGACATCACCTGTGTAGCTGGCCCAATGCCCGAGTGTGTGACAGGGTACACACTGATAGGTAAGTGTGTTTCTACCAACTCACTTCAATTAGAGCGACCCTAGCACGGGCCAGGATGATTTCACCCATACTGGTTAGCTAAGGAGATTTTCCATCTTCCTGCAGAGCGTGTTAGGTGTGGTAGGCTCTACCAGTTCACGTATTATGCATTATTACTTAGAATGACAAAGTTCTGGAGGCACCTGGATAGCCAGGCTGTCTCCTAGTTTTTCTAACCCAGATGGGGAAACTGAGGTTTAGGTCCCTCAGAGCTGTTAAACAACGGAGCTAGAACTCGGGGCTCCTCTGCTCACACATTTCCAACCGTACGGATTGCAGGCTTCTCTCATTTCCTGTCCTTCACTGGTTTGATGGGAAAGGGGCTACTCCTGCAACAATCACCTCACCTCAATGACAGTATGTTGGGATGCACTATGCTTCTGTATGAATGACGACGTGTGGTATGTTTATGTACATATGGGGTGTGGTATGTTTAAGTGAGGCTGGGAGAACGGCTCTCATATTAATCCCAGCCCTGCTAGCTGTGCATGTAATCTGATTCTGGATGGTGATGGCTTCTGACTGCTGTGCTGACCCTGAACACGCTGCCCGTGCCTTGTACCATTACACTGAAGGTACAAAAGGGACAGCATTAGGCTGGGCAGTACCAGCTTGTGCAAGGTGTAGAAGTTTGGACTTGGGTTTGAAGAGCAACTTTGACTCATGTCTCGAGAGCCTGGAACCTGAGATGAGTTCTTCCACTCATCTGTTTCGTCACCAATAAATTGAAGACAGTTGCAGCACTGTTCGTAAATAGATCCATCTGCTGTAAATACCAGTTACTCTGCGGCTGCTGTCGTAAATACCAGTTACAGTGTGGCTGCTAGGACAGGAGGGAAGCAGCAGTGTCTACTGCATGTATTTCTACAGCTTTTAAAAGTGTTTCCATGTATTTATCCATTCATTCATTCATTCATTCATTCATTTAATGTATATGTGCTCTGCTGCATGCCAGAAGAGTACAATAGCTGCCCTTATAGATGATAGTCAGAGCTCCTATGTGGTTGTTGGGAATTGAACTCAGGACCTCTGGAAGAGCAGCCAGTGCTCTTAACCCCTGAACCAGTTCGCCTGCCCCTCTACAGTTGTGTGCTCTAGTGACAAGCACATGTCACTTCCATATCGAAAATAATGTGTTGAGGTTGCGTT